AAAATATCATTAGAAGAAATTAATTAAGAGAAATGCTAACGAGACTCTCTTAAAAGGTGAAACTCTCCATGAACTTTCCGCTAGCTTATTTTTGGTAAAATTTTCGTGTCAACATTATAAAACAAAAATTATGAGGTGACGGAAAGTTTATTGAAAGTCCCACTTTGAGAGTCTCTTTAACATTTCTTATTAATTAAACAATAGCGTCTCGCCATTTAATACTATGGTCTGGACCATATTATTGCTAACCCATTATAAGACTAAACTCACCCGTTCTACATTGTTTGTTTGGATTTTTATTTTATTTTTTTTGAACAAAAGATATTTTCTATACTAAGGGGAGGGTGTGGGTTTAACCTCATAATAGGCTAGTAATTAACCTAGTAAAAACAAAGTAAATTGTTCTTCAGTGCAGTGGGGCAAGGTCAAAAATTAAATTTTACAAAATATGTGCAACTCAGACATGCAATAAAAATCTATGAATTTAACTTTATAGACATATATAAACACGTAATGAGATTCAAATACGGAATTTAAAGCTTTATGTGTACTGAAGGCATTTGTAAATGAGTGGCAGCCATGGGTTATGGTTGGGTGTGATATAGGATAGAATTGGGCATCGGAATATAAAGTAGTTTAACGGAAGCAATAATACTGAAAATTAAACAAAATAATATAATTGAGATCTCTCTATATAAACACATATAGCACGAAATTTAACTCAGAATTTACCTCATGAAATAATCTGGCCTTTATGAAATTAACTCAAAATTTAACTCATGGAATAGAAAGGGTGCGTGCAGGGTAAAAAGAAGTGTGTGGATAACACTACCATATTTTTATATTTTATTGAAATGTTCATGTATAATCCACCATCAATCAAAGTGACTGGAGGTAAAAAAAATTTGGCAAGGTGGTTGGATTCCGGCAAAAATTTCGGGCCTAAAAAAATTACGGCGAATGATTCGGCAATTTCCGGCGACCTTTCCGGCAAATGAGTCAGGTAGGCTTAGGCCTTAAGGCAAATATGTAAATAAATGTACAATCCTTGTACTTGTATTGACCCACAAAGTGTGGCCGAGTCCAAAGAAAACGGGTTGGGCTTGGTACTTTTTCTTAAGTGCCTATTTTTCCTTACAGCCTATATACAACTAGATTTCTTGTTGAGTATTGAACAAGTAAGGCTTGAAATGACAAGCAACTGACGGATTGCCCAACTGGATAGGACATTCCTCTTTAACTCGCTGGATTCAAAGTTCAAAATCTCCCCCTGCCCATGTTTAGATGATTTTTTTTTTAAAGATTGATGAATTCGTATAGATTATCCTATTGCCTGTCGTAAAAAAATGACAATGTAATCAATACCAATTCTTGTGGAATCAAAACATGAAAGAGGGAACATGATGGAAACGATTTGCAACCGTAGCTACTATCTCCAATAAAAACATGCCATTTCTATGAAGAAACAAAACGGAAGATAATCGTAATCAAACCCGTGATAACATTTGATCTATGCAATTATCATCTAATCTAAGAAATAACACGGAAACTGGCTGAGCCGATGGATTCCCAATTTAAAGCTCAGAGTACATCTGGCGTTGCGGAGGAGAGAGTACTTCCAACTTTGTGAATCCTTTTTATACAGAACGATTGGGGGAACCTGCATCAGAACTATTCCGTTCTCGCCAACTTGGCCAGGAACAAGTACAATCTTTTCCAGGACAACTCCTTGCTCAGTCAAGATTTTCACAAAATTACCTTCATCTTCTGTTCCTGTATACGGTTTGATTGTAACTTGCTTGAGACTTGGAATGCTAAACTCAGCTGATTTATCCGACAACTCTTCTGGTAAACTCTCCTGGAGATTAGAACATCAAGTTTTAATGTGCAGCAAGGAACATAAAAAGAATGATAAGCAATAGTAACACTGAAACATCAAGCATTGCTATAGTTATATGTTTGTAAAAATACTCACATCTTCCCCGAACTTGAAAGGGTATTCTAGAATCATTGTCTCCAGATTGGGACAATGTTTAAGCAGTGCAGCCATGCCAACGAGATCATGCTTGGTAAATCCTGTTTGTAGCTCTAAGAGCTTCAGATTGTGGAGTATAAAACTTTTAGGGAATGAGTCCGTTGATGTCAAAAACTGAGGGCATATGCAAAGAAAACGATTAGGAATATAAGAAGATGTTCAACAACATAACCCATCACAAATCAGTGGTTATCGTATGTAGCAGAAAAAGGGCAAAAGAGGCTAAGCAGTTAAAAGTGAAACTCGAAAAATCCCCTGTTCATGGAGGTTAAAGCAAAGTGATTGACTATCTGAAAATTATCTAAGAATGTAATGTTGCACACAAGTGAGGTGGACAAAGTTAGAAAGTGACTAAAGATACATTCCGAATGAGATCTCCATACCCAACGTGAAGAGAGGTTTAAATTATCTTCAAAAAGTCGCATATCATGTAACTATCTCACATTCACACCGTTCTTAATGAGCGCTCCATACCTGTTATGAGTTTAAAACCTATTGCACTACAGGCAATGAGGAACAATAAGCCGAGTGAAGTTTTACGTTTCTTAACAGACTCACCTATGGTGTCACAATGCCAGCAGCAGAAACCTAATGACCAATTGGTATCCACTTCCCCCGGTCTAGACCAAACGCTTACAAAACTGAGGAGAGTTTCAACAACTACTTACCTTTTCCATCTTTCAGTCGACTCTTAGATTCAGTGACAATCTAAAGAGCCTCACTATCTATCATGTTGTTGTCTCTATCAATCTCATTCGAAAATACACGGCTATATCACCAAATCCAAAAACACAAGATTTTAGCCTATCTATGACTATAAGAAGCTTTCTACACGATCAGAATACCAACCACATTGCTACATATTACTCAAATCTTTGACATAATTACCACAAACAAAAACCATGACAGATATATCAAAAAGCTATACTGATCAGAACGGAGATGATAAATAAACAAAAATTACCTTAAACCACCAATTTAATGCATCGAGATGCTTAAGATTAGGCGCTTGCTCAATTAGCTTAACCGTCCTACTCCACAAGTCATAGTAACGTTCCACTATGTTCACAATCTGGACACGAAAATAAACCAGAGACTCAGCATTCTTCAGGGCAAACCTGTAAAAGCTACAGCAATCAAAGCTAATCGAACAAAGATTTGGGCAATCAATCGAAACAGTCTCTTTGATTTCGGAATCATAGAAGAACCCAAATGCCAGCCTCTTCAGCCTTTTGCTACATATCTTCAAGTGATGATGTCCCCAACAGTTTTGAAGCTCCATATCTTCCAAATTAGGGCAACCCAATATCAAATCATTCATCATCTGGTCCTCCAAACAAACCATATCGAGAAGCAAGGACCGAATCGTCCAAAATCGCATGGTGGACAATTTCGCCGGCTGAGTGAGATAACACCGCGTGAGGCTCAATTTCTCAACACACCCATTTCTCAGAAAAGAGAAAGGGAAATCGTAATGGTGATTATGGGTTTCGTCGTTGTGAAAATCTCTGTGGATGAAGAAGTCGAGGTGGAGCTCCCGGGCGCGGAGGTGGGTGACGGCGGATCGCACCCAGGAGTCGACGTGGGAGTGGTAGTGATCGTGGAAGATGAAAGTGAGACGGAAAGTGTGGACGGGAGAATTGGGGCGGGAAATCAGAACGCGGTCGACGAACTCGGCGTAGAACTGGCAAGTGTCCGACGGCGGCTCGCGCGGCGGGAAGAGTTCGAATCTGAAATCGAGGGAGGGGACGAGGGACCAGAGAGGGCGCCATTTTTGGGAGATGAGGGAGGTTTGGACGGAGTCTAATGTGGGGAGGAAGGAGAGGATGCGGAGGAGGAGGTCCTCCGGCAGATCGCTGAGGCTTCGGTTTTGATTGCTTGCCTCTTCTTCCATCTCCCCTCTCTTGTAAAATGTTTCTGCCATCGGAAAAGCATTTTTAATCGGTAATTTGCATTTTACTGTGACCCAAAAAAACTTTTTTTTTTTTTTAAACAAACGATATTATATATATTAAGAGTAAGATGATAGGTTAAGTTCATAATGGGTTAGCAATAATGTGATTCAAATTCTTCTTTGGCGAGAATCAAACCTAAGACCTCTCACTTACAAGTGAAAATGAATATTACTATATCGTAGTACTAAAGTTTTATTTTTCCTCTTTTAAAAGGGGGACAACTAGTGGCAAACCACGGTTATCCTCCATTCCAAGCCCAGAGAGACTATAGAGAATTTCACTCTGCCCTTGATCACATTCAAGCAGACTCACCATTTTCAAACACAACGCGCCATATACAATGTGTTATAATATACGTGTCATAATATAAATAGAGCAACACTAAAAATATTTTTTTTACTATTTATATTATAACACATTATGTATCAACTTGTGTTATGAGCATATGGATATATCTCCGTTGGCATGGCATAAACAAGTTGTGTTAAATGATGGCATGATAGGTGAGTCAAAACTACGCCACATCGTTAGTTAACAAAGTACTTGAGAGAAAAACTAACATAAATCTAAAAGTGACAGAAATATTAAAATTAAAGTATGAAAGCGACATTGAGAAGAAGAAAAAAAATAAGGGTAATAAATTTAGAATTTGGAGAAACTTGAAGGTAGTTGAGTGAAATTTATCCTTAATTTATAAAGCATTTTTAGGTCTAGGCTTCTTTTTTTTCAAGCTTAGAAAATTTGTTAGAGTGATTTTAATTTCTTTTTATTGTTAAATGATGTAATCAAATTGCAAGTGATAGATTCCCCCAATGGCTGATGAATAGAACCTTCTCTTTAAACCTACCGCATACGAGTTCAAACTCTCCCCTTCCTCTTAGGGCACTTATAAGAAGAATAGTGTTATCCACACACTCATTTTTACTTTCTATACATTGTTATTTTTTTGTCATTGATCTTTTTCAATTCATTTGATCCGACGGTCGAAAATTGAAGGAGTGTGTACTAAATAAAAATAAGTATATAGAGAGCACTACCCTATAAGAATATCCCTTATATTTTAAAACAAAATTAATCAAATTTGATTGAAATTCTTTGTTAGTTGAAATGTAATAGATAAGCATCGTGAGAGATTTTGTTGAGATTCTATGCATTGTGAGAGATTGCAGCTCAAGACTTCGACTTCCAGCGTTGCTTCCTGTGGCCCCTTCTTTGGGAGTTTACCACATGCCCTATTGATTCAATGTAAATTGCTTCGGCGATCATCCTTGTAAACTCTGAGTAGACAAATGAATCGATCGAAGGCTGCCATTCCATTTCCACCTTCAACTAAGAACTGGATTTGGGTTTAGATGGACAGTGAACTAGCCTTTATCCTTGTGTGAAGCTGAAACTGAACCCGAAAAGAGATTCACTGCAGGCCTTCCCCTTTTACCAGTAATCTCCACATGAACAACATCCATCCTTGAAATGATGAAAACGCTTTGCATCCCTAACAACTATCTCCCTGTTGACAAGCTTCGATATTAGCTTGGTTGCTGAATGACAATTCACACATGCTCTAAGATTTTTGGTGATCCGAAGTGTAGTTCCTGGAGCAGTGCTGATGAGGCCATAAGCAATTGCCAGCCTCTCGCTGTGATTACAAAGTGTCTCTTCTGTCTCTTCATGATTCAAATCATGCAGAACAGAATCTGTATTCGGGATGAATCCTGCCTCCTTTAACCTCCTCTCCAGACTTTCGAGCTCTTCATAAATTTCCTTAGACCGTGGATGAGACTTGTCTCCCACATGAAATGCCTGAAGCTTCCCATTGACCTCAATCAAACTATGTCCAAGGTCCTTTATCAGTCCTTTTTCCCTCATCAATACTCGTACCTTTGCAACATGATCCCATAAGCGGGCTGAAGCATAAAGATTTGAGAGTTGAACATAATGCCCTGTATTATATGGATCTATAGAGAAAAGCTGTTCTGCAGCGTATTCTCCCAAAGTTACATGACGATAAATCTTGCATGAACCCAGAAGTGCTCCCCATACACTTATACCAGGTTCAATTGGCATCTTTCTGATAAAATCGTAAGCTTGATCCAAGCGGCCTGCACGTCCAAGAAGATCAACCACACAAGAATAATGTTGGTTTCCAGGCTCAATCCCGCAGTTTAACATACGGTGGAACAGCTCCCATCCTTCCTCAACAAGGCCTGAATGATTGCATGCAGTGAGGAGCCCTAGGAAGGTGACATCATTGGGTGGCACTCCTGCCTGCTGCATAGAATGGAAAAGATCAATGGCTTCTCGTGCTCGACCATGTAATCCGTATCCCACGATCATTGCACTCCACACCACAACATCTTTATTAGGCGTTCTATCAAAAACCATTCGAGCAAAATCGACACTTCCACATTTTGCATACATATCAATTAGGGCAGTGTTAACAAAAACATTATTCCTATACTCACTTTTATTGATATAATCGTCCATCCATTTTGCTAGGTCAAGAGAACCCACCCTGGGCGCATGCAGATATAGCAGACCTCATTGTTATTGAATCTGTTCTAAAATGTTTTGTGATCATCTCCCGGAATAGCTCTACAGCCTCATTAGCATAACCATTCTTCGCATAACCAGATATCATAGCATTCCACAGTATTACGTTCGGCGTTTGCATCTGATCAAAAAACGATCTGGCAGCCATCACCTGCCCACTTTTTGCATACATTGCCGTGAGTGCAATGAGCAAGTCAGGTTCAGATTCAAGACCCATTTTGATCAAACAACCATGAACAGATGTCCCCTGTCCCAAGTCTTCTACATCAGTATAAGCTTTTAGAACACTAACAAGAACAATCCAATCCGGTTTCACATTCAAATTTCTCATCAGACCAAAAATTCTCAAAGCTCCAAAGGCTGGCCATTCTGGGCATACCCCGAAATCATCGAAGTCCAGGAAACAACCGTCCTCTCACCTAAACCATCAAACACAGCCCTAGCACGATCTATTCGACTACATTTAGCATACAACGCCACGAGACCATTCTGCACAAAAACATCTGATTCAAACCCATGTCTAAACACCTGTCCATGAACCCGTCGACCCATTTCGAGGTCCGGCATGCCACTGCAAGCTTTAAGCACATGAGGAAAAGTAAACCCATCTGGACTGACACCCATTACTTGCATCCTAGAATACATTTCTATAGCCTGAGAAAACACATTGTGCCTAGAATAACACCTAATGATCGCATTCCACTGAAACACATCTGGGTCAGTAAATTCATCAAACACTTGGCGGGCGTACGAAATATACCCGAGATTCGAGCTTGCATTGACCAATTTGGTGATCAAAAAGCCACTGTCTATCAAACCCAATACAACTAACTGGGCATGGATTTGACCCAACTGGCTCTTTCGGGTCGAACCATCGATCAGAGACCCGAAGAAGGAGTCCGGGTCGTGGCCGTGACGGAGGTGTTGGTCGTCGTAGCAGTACGGATCTAGACGGAGAGGAGACGAACAGTAGTGACGGATGAAGGTGAATGAAAACGACGCCGGAGTTTCAAAGTCTTGAGACGTCGCCGTTTTGGGAGCCAACGTCCGGAATTTGGCGGGAAGGGGAAAGAGAGAGACTCTCCTAGCGAGAGCCATCTCAGGTCTGATGTTAAGCTTAGAGCAACTTCAGCGTAGGCCCGTCGAGCAACTTCCTATTTAATAGCCTCGAGTGAACTGAACGGTAACTACTAACAATAATCACCTTTTCATTTTTATTCTTAAACTAAATAATCATGGTAATATGTAATAAAATATTAGCATTTTTTATTTTATAAAATAATAAAAAAATAATTTTATTTCAAATTTCGGATATAATTTTTAATCGGTCTCGTTGTACCATGTTTCATAAAATAAGAAATTACAACACAAAGTATTTGAGAAAATATAAAATTGTGATGTAAGGTGGAAAATAATGATAAGATATTTATAGAAAAATTAAATCTTTTTTTCTAATTTTCAAATTTTTTATTAATTGTTTACATTTTTTTAATTTTTTTTATTAATTGTTTACATTTTTTTTTATTTTTTATTGCTTTTTTACATTTTTTATTAATTTTATAATGTTGCTAACGTCATCCTAACTTCAGCCATGCATCATCTGGCCTCAGGCTCTCGGCCTACCAATTCGAGTCGGGCTTCTCACTCGGGCCCCCCTCAGCCCAATCACCCGCATGGGCTGGAGTAAAGAGCTAGGGCTATTGGGTCCTATTCAATTGCCGGCCCATCGGGCTACTCCCCCCGGTGGAGTTGCTCTTAAAGGCGCAAAACGACATAGCCGCGTTTTTATACTGGTATTATGAATTTAAGACCACTGTATTTTGGATCCATTGCAATTCTGGTCACTATAGTTCTATTTTTTCTAATTTGGCCACCATATTTAATCTTGTCTGTGAATCGAGTTCAATTGATAAAAATAACTTACATGAAACAAATTCACTTCCATATAGCGTTCTAGTCCAATTTTTCCATATGAAGAAAAATTTACACATGGCATAACGTCATTCGAGTGCGACGCCATAGTTGTATAAAACTTGTTCTATGCATAACCATTTTAGTCTCTTCCCACCGCATCAACATCTCACGAACCCCAACTGCTCTTAGCCATAACCCACCTCTAGCTCTAGGTATAACACTCAATCCACTCCCGCTACAACCCTAGAGCTCACGCCTTCTTCGATTTTACCTTCTATTAGAGAGACGAGTACAAATAAATGATAAAAAAAAATAGCATTTTTGTGTTTTAAAAGTGTAAGTTGCTCCACGTGTGTGAAAAATGAAAATAGTCAAAATTTAGCAATTCCACTTGAGAGAATTCTACTAGGTTCTGAAATACAATATGGATCGAAATAATGGAAGGCTGAATATGTGACTAAATTCAAAATCAAGGCAAAAAGAACAGGCCAGAATTGAAATTTTATCAAAATCCGAGGCCTTTTCTGAAAATTCAACTGTCGAAAATTACGACAAGTGTAGCGACTTCCAGCCACGAAGATCCAGTTTTCTGCTCAGACCTCCATCGATACAAAGCTTTCTTCCGGTCTCCTCCGTTATGGAGAGGCACATCGAGATTTTCCTGAAGAGGCTCTCCTACGTCTCCATACTCATCGGCACCGTCGCCTTCGTCTTCCTCCTCCTCAAAACCCCCGACACCTGCGTCGCGCCGGACTCTCCCCCGAAGCCCCACCTCCGCTTCCCCAAATCCTCCTGCGACGCCTCGCCGCGCGTCATCCTCCCTCTCCACAAGAAGAACAAGCGCCTCTGGTCCACCAAGACCTGGCAGAACAAGGTCCACTCCTTCTCCAACTTCTTTCGCGCATTTTATCAAATGGGTCTCCTGCACAACGAGTCCAAGGTCCTCTGCGTCTCCGCCGGCGCCGGCCACGAGGTCATGGCGCTGACCCAGTTGGGCGTTGCCGACGTCACCGGAATTGAGCTCCTCGAGTCGCCTCCGCTGGTGAGCCGGGCGGATCCCCATAACTTGCCTTACTTCGATAATGTGTTTAATTTGGGATTTAGTGCGCATTTCGCGGAGGCGTTGTTTCCGAACCGGTTCGCTGCGGAGATGGAGAGGACGGTGAGGGCCGGCGGGGTGTGTGTGGTGGTTGTGGACGAATGTGGGGATGAGGAGGTTAGGGAGATTGTGGATTTGTTTACGAATTCGAGGTTTGTTGGTGCTCTTAATGTTACATTGACTGGATTGAGAATGACAAGAATTATTATGAAAGTTAAGCATTCACCTTAATTTCCTTTTGGTAATTCTCTCTTTGCTTTACATGTTTATGTTATATGTTTCGAATTCGATTTCTTGTTTGTGTGTGAATTGGTGTTTCTGTCTTAGGATCTGGGGTTAGTGAGCTACTTATACTGTGAATTTGTGATCTGAAAGCGGATTAAGCAACTGCGTAAGAACTCGAACGGATCTAGATTAAGTTATAACTCTTGTGAAGAAGTATGGCATTGAGAGTGAATGGTTTCGCTATGTTGCGTAAGAACTCGAACGGCTCTAGGTTAAGTTTATAACTATTGTGAAGAAGTATGGCATTGAGAGTGAATGGTTTTGCTATGTTGCGTAAGAACTCGAACGGCTCTAGGTGAAGTTTATAACTGTTGTGAAGAAGTTTGGCATTGAGAGTGAATGGTTTCGCTATGTTGCGTAAGAACTCGAACGGCTCTAGGTTAAGTTTATAACTGTTGTGAAGAAGTATGGCATTGAGAGTGAATGGTTTCGCTATGTGCTTTGCTTTCCTCTCAAGTCTCGTTATTTCGGGCAAGTTTCTCTGTTTTAGTTGTGCTCGTTTGATCTTCTGTTCTTGTCAAATGAAAATTTTGAACTTCGATCGCTTTCTTTGTCTGCTTGAGATCACAAATGCTAGGCACTCTTCGATTGTAAGGATCTTAATGATGTATGCAATTTAGGATGTTCTTCTTGTTGGAAACTAGCATGTGTGCTGAATGTGAGTTGGCCTGAGAACATGTATGATACCATCTTCTTTGAGAATCTATGTCAACACCTGGTTTGCTTAATCGACTTATCCACAGGTGCTGAATGTGAATTGACTTAAGAACATGGACGATAACATCTTCCTTGGCGGGTTGGTGATGATTGATGCCCGAGGTTATCGTTCATATCGACATCTGGTTTTCTTGAGCCCGACCTAGTTACAGATTCTTAGGTTCTATCAGTCTTTAAGCACTGGCTTTGAGAATTTGGACACGAACATGGTTTCACAATTTGTTACAAATTAGAGTTGAAGTCGATGGTTCACAAAATGCTTCTTGAGTTCGTTTCTTTGATTCTGTTCCTGCCGATGATTTTCACAGTAAGTTTTGAATGACAAGCAAAGGAATTTAGAAGCGAGCAAAACGCGAGTGGGTTGATTAATAAGTCCGGATATCGATTCTCGAATGGAGAATGGACGTTAAACTGAAACACACGAACTTCGTAACTTTTCCATAACTTTTCCCTGCGGGCTCGTTGATTGTCAATGACAATACCAGATTTTACATCCTAAATCTCGTGTTGATTCACTAAGAACCACACGAACGTTGTTGATCCTCTGGCTGTAACGAATCAACACAAGATTGCCAAGAAGTTTACCACGCGAAAATTGTTGATTCTCTGAGCTATAACGGCCAATGATCATCGGGATGTCTATACCTCGTTAATTCCGTGGAATATCGGAATTTATAGAACAAGAACAAGAATGAGAAAACTCTCTCAAACTGCACTTGGTTTTCAGTTCAATTCATTATAATCTTCATCCCCATCCGGAATACTAAATACTCTTATTTATAGAAGTTCTACCCACCCACCCCTAATAATTATTGATACATGCACCATAGTTAATGCATCATTACTAGAAACAAACTTATCAAGTTAATCTCACTTAATCTACCCCATTAACATATATTTATGACATTAAATAAGGGTGACTCTTTATTTAATCACTAAACTCTTCAAATCTTCCATGTTGTTGGTTCTTCGTAGAATTCGAAAGGATAATATTAGAGAGACCAGATTTTTAAACCAAATGATGTGTTGTTGATGATTATATTATTACTTAAGTGTTTTTTTTCTTATTGAAACACATCATTTGATTTACAAATTTAGTTTAAAATTTAATATCCCTAATATTATCCGATTCGAAAAGCCAAATGCATGTTCTCGGAAATGTTGTCCTACGTGCTTCACAACATGTGTATGCTTCTGCATCATTAACATTGTCACCAGTTCACATTGATTAATTAGTAATACTCGGCCTCACTACTTTAAAACATAAATTCGTTTTTATTTGAAACCTAACCTTTGAAATTACCATTTATAGCACTTTAATGTGACATGTCCAGTTACGTTTATAGGTTTAATCGCATGTAAGGGAACTTTCTTAAAAGTGACTTTTTATGAACTTTCCGCTACCTTATTTTTGTGGCACAATTGTCATGCTAACATCATAAAATAATGTGTCAAAAATATAAGATGGCTGAGGGTCCATATATAACCTCATTTTGAGAGTCTCCTTAGCATTTCTCTTCAAGTTTATTAAAAATTACAAAATACATATCATCGTTCAATTAAAGTGACATTGACGTTAAATCTTGGATATCATAGAATGTCGGCTTTTTAGCCAAAATGATCCCTAAGATTTGCATAATTCATAACTTTGGTTCTTAAGATTTGAAATTATTAGAAGTAGACCATAAGTTTGTCCACCATCAATCATTTTGATCATTCCATGAAAAATCTCCATTAAATAAGGCTAAAATGATAAAAATACTCTCAATTTTTGTCAAATCATTTGACCCATTGTTTATTAAATTGAGGGTAATTTTGTCATTAGGATCAAAATGATTAATGGTGGACAAACTCAGGGACCACTTTCTATTAATTTCAAATCTCAGGGATCAAAGTAATGAGTTATGCAAATCTCAAATGTCATTTTGATTAAAAAGCCTAAAATGATTGGTTATAGGTCTTTTCTGAGCGAACACTTTGTGCAATCTTGGTCTTACCTAAACTTCAATTTGGTAAAGTTTCCCCTTTTAAATTAAATATTGGAGATGAATAATTGTAATTGTCAATAAATTAGTGACAAAGACAGACCTCCAAGCATTTTGAACACACATGATTATTTCTTAACAACCAGAAATACATGATTAGTGGATATTAAGGCCAGTATTCAAAGGTTGTGTCCCTAGTTTCTTCACTAAATTAGCTAGACTTGGACTTGAATGCAAACCTGTATCTGTTAGATTGTGATCCAAATCCAATTCGTCACACATAAATGGGCATGTGAGAATGTAAGGAAAATATTTCTCCACATTGGTGAGGGGTCAAACCATGCATTTCCCTATTAAAATCAACTTAAGAAATCTAACACACAACTTCAATCCAATTGCTAAGTAACATGATTCATCCAAAGTTTCAATCTCAAACTAATTAGGATAACTTTTTAACTCTTTAATAAGACCGTTTCAGACCAATTCCAAACAGTACAATCGATTCTAACTCGCATTATCATATTCACATTATTATAACTCCTTAATAATATACTGTAAGAGGTATCATAAAATGTTACATAGCACAAGAACATCCGATCAAGCTAATATCACTACCTTAAGCAAACTTATAAAGTAAAAGAAATTGAAGTAGTGACTGAAAGAAAAAGTAGCAGGAAATAAGAATATATGTAGTTCTACTTCCAAACAAAGATTTTAGTCTTCTGCTTCACGTGTGAACACCTGGAAGATTTGTCTACTTCTTCTTTGACTCCCAACTTCTTTCAAAAGATTCAGTCTCAGTTAGGTTCCCATCTCCATAGATTAATCTCATATATTTAATTATTATAATCTACCTGACTGGTTCCGCCTTCATTTCTAATACAACCTCCACAGGAAGAACGACTTCATGCACATAAAATAGCATAAAATGTTTAAGAAATTTAATTTTTTTCTCCTTTATTTTCTGGAAAATAAACAAAATGCAGCACTGTCATTTTCACAAGAGAAATTTTTCATTGTAACATGAACACAGGGGATACATTACTTATTTTTATGTAAATTGTGGAAAATTTTACTTCTAAGTTATTAACTTTTTAACATACATATCTCACCATTTATATAATAACACGTGATGTATCATCCCGTGTTCCGATCATATTGAAAAATCTCTCCTTAACAGGACACAGAGTTTTGAGTTTTGAGCTTTGGCAAAGGCGGGTGCAGGCTTGCAGCAGAACAGAGGCACCGACCCGGCGTCTCTTTAATTTTATGTGCGAAATCATGTGGTTTGGCAAATATCCCACTGTCTTGGAGGACTCGAGTTTTCCGTGTCCGCGATGCAATGCAGACGCTATAATTTTGCCCTTTCTTTTGGAACCCCATGAGCCATGACACAATCAGGTTTTGGCTCTTTTTTTATCTGCAGACCAAGTGAATTAAAAATTAAAATAATAGCTTTATATTTTGGGTGAAGATTTCCGAGCAGATTTCTCGGAATATTTTTTTATTAGGAAAACTAATGAAAAGTGCTTGAAAACTTTGAGTTTTAATGATAAGGACAAAATAAAGGGTAAAGTAAATAGTATCAAGATTAACTTTTTAGCGTAAAAATATGATTTTTCGTTAAAGTGAACAGTACCAGGTGTTTTTCGTTAAAGTTCCTTTTTTTATTTGCTTAGAGGGGAAGAAAACAAGTCCACCCTTCATACTTTTATACTTACACCACAAAGTTCAATGCAACCGTGATGTTTCGAATTATTAATACAAAGGCATATGTAAGACATTTTTATATTAGAGATTAAAGATATTACGGTAGCAGTTAATCCATTTCATAGAAACCGGGGATACACTTTCCTCTCTATTTACGATTTCATATAAAAATTTAGCAATATTTTGATAGAACGGATACCGTGACGAGAGAAATATAGAGATACAAAAAATAGAAAGAAAAAAAAAGAAAAAGGACAAGAAAACAATTAGAGAATTCAAATGGAGAAGCTAAAGAATACTGATATTTTCATAGAAATCCCATTTGATAATATTCACATTCATAATTAAACCCATAAAATAAATTTAAACTAAACTAGATCACTAATTCTGATTATCATCATGTATCTGTGCGGATCAAAATCACCTCTTCACTGCTTTACAATAATCCTCATATAATCTCATCTAATCCGTCAGGAAACCTTAATTAATCACACCCCTTTTTCTGGTGACCCTGATGTAGCAGAACACAGCTGCAAAAATGGTAGTGACAAGCCCGCCAATGATAATCCCTCCACCAGCCACCGACTTATCAGCTTTCTTTTCAGCAGGCCCCAAACGCCGGAAAGTTGGAGCTTCCGCCATCTCGCCTTCTTCCATGCTCTCAGTATCGGACGGCTCTGCCGCAATGGAAGTAGAGTGCTCTGTTTCTCTGCCCAAGTCATCAGATTTGTCGGCAGCCATTGCAGAAACCAGAAGGAACCCAGTAAGGAGGAGGCAAATCAGACCAAGTCTAGCCATTTGGGTTGAAATTTTGGGTATTGTTTGGTTTTGGAATTTGACGATGTTGGGTGGTAAAAGATTGAATCTTTGGTTGGGGTTGGGGGAGTGTAGGGGGTGACTTAGAGGTTTATATAGTGGAGAACGAATGTGTAGTGTTTGCCGTTGTTGGGAAGTGGGTCCCATGTGTGATGTGCGTGCGCGAGAGAGAGAGAGAGAGAGAGAGAGAGAGAGAGAGAGAGGTAACTATTTTGGGATGGGGATCTGGGAAAGATTTGATACTCGGAAGAAAGAAAATAGGAATAAAAGTGGTTGTGTGTGTGTGTGAAAAGCTTTTTTTAGAGAGAGAGAGAGAGAGAGAGAGAGAGAGAGTGGTAAAGTGCATGAGATCGAATCTTGGGCAGGTGAAAGCTTTTTTTTAGAGTGAGAGAGAGAGAGAGAGAGTGGTGAAGTGCAAAACGACATGCAACGACAACTGGGAACACACTGTGAACTCGAGATTTGTAGTAGACTAGGAGTGGGAGTGCTTTGATGTTTGGGAGGATAAAAGCTGGAAAAGCTAAGAAAGTAAATTGCTGTGGCTGTAAAACGTGGGGAGGGAATTTTCGCTTTGGGAAAGAAAGTAAAATGTAGGAGGGTTATTACATGTATCCAATCCGAATACACTACGTATCATAATTCATGTAATGTAAGATTTCATTTAAATTATAATATGTATGTATTCAATACGATATATTATCTACAATGATTCATACAGTGTATAAATACTTTCAAATTGTAATGCGTATTCAATTACTTTTGCAGCTTCCTTTAATTGATTTTAGAAAACTATATTCAGACTCATTCATGCAAATCTTACTGAACATAAGTTTGGAGAGACATTTAGGCTTGCAACTTTTGGTGTAGCCTCCTGAAAGTTATGACAATACCTTTCAATCGACAAAAAAACTATAGTATTTTGCAACCGTTAATTCTTAATTTTTATGTTTTAGACCAAAGATCGATAAAAACTCTTAAAGTATCCTATAATATGGACTACCATAGAAAATCTCTTTATTGGAGTGTTGCTTAGTTGCCTTAGGCTTTTTTTTTTCACACCTTTGGCTTCATTCTCCTCTCTTTTTATTAATTCTTGTAAAAAAAAGTAACCCTAGGTCTTATATTTGAATTTGATTATTGTCTCCACCAACATCTCAATTATTTAAAAGGAAAGTATAATTTTACTTTTCTTACTTTTGTAATACCATAAGTATTAACCATAACCATAACTCATTAAGTCCAAAGCTCCAAAGTTTAATACTGGCCGAATCGAGGAAATATTATTAAAATGGTCAATAAGAATCGAGCACGCAACGCACAAAATTTTTTGGTGAAAAGCACACAAATGGGCATTTCATTAAGCTTTGGTAGGCCCAAGGTATTTTCCAAATTATATTGCACGTTTGTCGACAGATGTTAACAACTTTCAAGCGAGCATGTTAATTGATAATTATAACTTTTGAATGAGCATGCCGATAAATGTTAACATATGCTAAGTGAGTTTATCGAAAAATGTTCATAATACCTCATACAAAAGTATGAAGCTAACAGCTAACATGCTCTATGGCTATGCTTTGTGCCAGCTCTCCTGGAATGCTGAATTTGAATATAATTTGGAGTAGTTATATTATTTTCCCCTTTTAGTGTTGGATTAATTGCACACAGCTGGCCTCCCAGCTGGAAATATAACAACCGCAAATTGGTCTCACATAACATTTTCCAGTTGGCCAGGGGTCTTTGGTCTCGAACACTTCACCGACTTACTTGGCAAACACTACGACATAGTATACACCACCGTATTGTTTGGATTTTAAGGACATGTTTTTTTTTAGTATATCGAATCAATATTTTTACATTAAGGGGATGAAAAGTAAGTTACACAATGAGCAGCTTAATTTGGTATCGAATTCACCATTCATAAGATTCGAACCTAAGACCTCTCACTTGCAAATGAAAAAAAATATCACTAGAGCATAATACTGGGTGTCAAATATTAAGGGCATATGTACTTAACAAAAATGAATAAATAAAGGAAAAGGAGGACTTAGAATTAGGGTAAGGAAAAGGAATCCAATCAAACTAACTTATCATGATTCTTGATTTTAAATATTTGATTGCAAATTTCAAGAGAAATCTTACACCTTAATTTCATATGTGTAACGCGGAAAAAAGTAAGAGAAATTTAATGATTCTCATAACCATGTTATATTAAACGCAAGAAACTCAAGAATCAAAATGATTTCAATTCCTAGTTCTTCTAAGAAAACATACCCTAATTTCTTGATCTGTACAATTTTTTTTTTGGGGCCATACATCTAACTCTCTATTCATTCAATGCATGCCAACATACTACTATATAATTCTCAAAAATGCTATATGAAGTTATGAAGGCATACCCATTTTTGACCGCACATTCATCTATTCATTAAGTATATATTATACACTGAAATATAATGGAATTCTCGAAAATATAACTATATTAAGTTATGAACGCATCGACTCTTTTCATGGGCATGCTTCATTTTCCTCAACATTCATGATTCATGTGAGTCTGGTTTAATTAGGTGAACTCATGGCCAATGCTCCATGTGATCAACCACTGTAATTAGTTAAAGAACAAGGACAAATTAACATAAATTAGAGTTTCATAATTAAGCCTTAGATTTTAACTTTATGAAGGAATTGGTAGATTTAGCAAAGGGATCCCATCATGGTAAATGATGCCAACTGTGAAGTGTGAACTTCGCACTCAAGACTGACCCCGGAGTCCTAAGAGTCTCAACTGCCTCAAGATACCTCACTGGCTTTGCCACATTTCTCGAATCCCATCAATGGTCAATGACGATGTGGGTCAACCAGACTAGTCGACTGTGTCAAAGCCTCTCATATTAAACAGGCCGACTACTGGGACCATGCCACTTATGCGACACACTGTATAAAAAAGCAAGAGCAATTGTAATATGGATCGTTGTTCGGAACTTTAGAACTAAGGGATCCGAGCTCTTGGTTTGTGTGAAAGAGAAATTGAAGTTCTTAGCTTGTGTGAGATGGGTCAATGGAATAAGTTAATGGGAATCGTCAAATTCAATTTGAGCGGTTCTAATTGCCTAATCCTTGTGTTCCGGATGGTGAGATCTTGAGTGGATCTCTTTTCAGAGCAATTATATTTGGTCTTATCCAATTCCATGTTAGTTTTATACGTTTGAGTCATGTTGTCGCACGTACGTAACCTCTTCAACATATCCACTAAAAATTTCAATGTGTGATCAAGATATATCTCGTTCAGGTACAGCTCTCTCATGTCCACTCATTGCATTTTGAAAGCTTAAGAAAGATTACTTATGTGGATTTATTATCTTGAACTAGAGCGATACACAAGAACAATAATAGTGATATACGTATTATTTGATTGTAATGTTTATTGGGAGTTTGTGGTCCTATAGTGTTAGTGGCCATATATCGGACTAGTAAGTTGCAAGCAAGTCATAGTTCCTTGTTCAGGCCAAGACTTAAGTGCTTAATTAGGTTGGTTGGGGATTTGTGGCCTTTGTTTTTCAGTTGAGGTATGCTATTCGTGCCCTTAAATTCGAATCCCATGTTTGCCTGGCTTGATAGATGCGGTAAATTTGTCGGCATGCTTTGTGTCCATAATATCAATAGAAACCTTGTCTTTTTTTTTTTTTTCAAAAAAAAAGAATTCTAAGATCATCTCCAACTGAAGGGTCCAGAAGGCCAGAGGGTTGAAAATAACCCGAAAACCGTCTCCAACCGAAGACTAGGCTAGAGGGCTCGTGGGCCCTACGGAATCTGAAATGGCCAAAGGGCTGGCCGCATGCAACTAGCCCTGGGCTAGCCAGAAATTCCAGCAATCATGTTGGATATAATCGACAGGAATATATTTAATTCTTAAAAATTCTAATTTTTTTCCTATAAATACCTAAACCATTCATGTAGTTTTTAAATTTAAGTTGTAGTTTTTAAATATAAGTTGTAGTTTTTAAATTTAAGTTGTTGTTTTTAAATTTAAGTTGTTGTAGTTTTTAAATTTAAATAATAAATTATGTTTGGCCCCTTGGCCCACGGTTGGAGACGGTTTTTTGTGACAGGGTTAAAACGAGTCATATGGCCCTTTGGCCCTCGATTGGAGATGGAGACAAATATGGACATGTACTGTTCATTAAAATATTAATATCTTTGAGGGCCAGAGGGGTAAAACGAGTCATCTGGCCAGCCCTCGGTTGGAGATGGCCTAAACCCTAAAACCTTGTCTTTGGCTTAATAGCATTGGGAATGACTATCTTATCCAAATTCTGAGAGCTTAAGATCTGTTCAAAAGGGGTTGGCATTTGGGCAGCTTAATTATTCATAATTTTAGGCTATCCCAAACTTCAATTGCCATGTAAGTCATTCTCTGAGTACATGGTAGGTTTTGTTTTTAGATTGATCATGGAGTCCGACTTCAACTTCCGTTTCAACTTTCTGAAGTAGAATGGTTGTTCCTACATGATCTTCCTAAATTCTATGAAACGAAATTGAAGTCCCTTCATGTTTTATACTAAAGCTAAGAACTTTCACAGACTGCAAAAGTAAAATATTGATAGAACGAAAACTCGGTTGGTAGAGAACGAAAACATGAACATATAGGAGCAAACTCGAATTGAAATCATAACAACACAACAGCACTATAAAGCCTGAATCATGAAGCAAAATAATATCACCGGGAAAAGTTATCAAGCATATTGCTACCTTCTCTATATTATAGAGATGTTTAGTGAATCTAATCTCTCTAATTCATGTTGGAAAACTACAAAAAATGGAGAAGGATTTACTCAAAGTGGTCGTCACAACCTCCCCCTACTGCGTCACCGTCCTCCATGTTGCAGAACTCCAAGAAATGGATCGGGCGGTGGTCCTGGTGATAGTACTCCCTCGGCATCCCAAGCTTGATGTCATACTTCATTCTTGTGGTATGCTTCACCCCC